AGTAAGTAAGTAGTAGTAGTGTGTGTGTGTGTGTGTGTGTGTGTGTGTGTGTGTGTGTGTGTGTGTGTGTGTGTGTGTGTGTGTGTGTGTGTGTGTGTGTGTGTGTGTGTGTGTGTGTAATGTGTGAATAGAACGGGCGGGGAGGGGGAGGTAAGAATCAGAATTCTTTCTTTACGTTTTTCCTATCGATCGCAAAAGGCAATCGAAGTTTTTTTTTGAAAAAAAGAGAAAGAAAATAGTCACAATGATAACGGTTGATTGCTTGACTCACTATTTGTTTCCTTTTTCTTTGTGGACAATTATATCAAAGACAAATGATTTATCAAACGCGCGCGCGAAAGAACGCGCGCGCGCGTGTATGCATGCACGATATTTACTTGGATAACTATTTCAATAGCCTATACTTTATCTGATTGCAAGCGTTACGGTAAAATCCTCAATATTTCCATTTTGACGAATAAGACAGTTCATACAAATTCATAGTAATGATATTCGTTCGATCAAAGTTGTAAATCTCAAAAAGAAAGTAGAATTGTCGAAGCTGCACCTGAACAAAGTGCATAGTTCGTGGTGTTAGACTACGCATTTTCGATCTTGGAAAAAGAAAAAAGAAACGCTGCCCTTTCTGATCTTCACACTGTGCGTGTATTGTTCACCAATTGTTGAAAGATGCATGTTACCTGCAAATGCTTAAATGTATCCATTAGGTCCAGAAGTACTGAATTACAACGGATCGATATCGCCAACGTCGAATTGACCGACCTCGAGCGTGCCGATGTCTTTTTTCGTGAGGTAAAATGCAAGATTTTCTTTCTCTTTCCACCTTTTCTTCACGATATATAAATACGATTAAATTTTTAAACAAGAAATACAAAGGAAAGTCATCCGCTGAGATTCCATAAAAATGTTATACATTATATTTGATGTACCCCGGTCGAATCATTGTCATTCCTCTTCTCCATTTGTTTTACTTGCTTAATTGTAAAATTAAAGCCAGTATGAGTGTAGAGTACAATTTTTTTTTACATTATATATAGATTTAAAAATGTATCTTCTCAGACAGGGTTATCTCACACACACACACACACACACACACACACACACACACACACACACACATATACAAATTTTAATTCTAACAGTGCAATGATAATCTGATGCTTCATGATAACATTTTTTTTTGTTTTGGAATACTAAAACGATCTAATCGTATTCATCTTCGATCTCTCATTTATCTCTCTTGATTTGTATATAAGATACTTGATCTCATAATCATGCAAAAATTCATTAATGACTAAAATTTAACAATTAATATAGCATTGCTGGTTAATCAATAAATAGAAACTATGTTATATCTAAAAACTATATAATCTTTTTAACAGATTTTTCTTTTTTTCTTTTTTAAATAAAATCTGCACGTGTGATCTCATCATTGTACAGATGCTTATATAATTGTAAAATGCAAAAAATTAAATCAAGACATAATATAACAATAATTAATTAATAATCATCGATTTTATCTTTGGCAGGATCTAGCAAGTGTATCAGAACTTGAAACTATTACTAAAGAACAACCTGGTTTAATGGAAATAAGAAATGTCGGATCATGGATTGTACACCGTTGTTATAATTGCTCAATGTATACTCATGCGGTTCATAGAGAATACGGCGCTGCTTTGGTTCTCATTAATAATAATATTGTTGTAAGTTTCATATGTATATGTATATATGTATATTACAAAATTTTTCTTTGATATTTAAATAGTTTTAATGGTATTAACCAAAACAATCTTTTCACATGTATCACATAGATATAATTTAGTTTAATGTCAGCTTATTTTTTCTATGTTTTTACTGACACAACAAACTACAATTGATTACAATCAATGGATGTGTTATCTTTTTCATAAAAATAAATAATAATATACAATATATTTATAATATATATATAATATAAAATAACAAATTGTACATTTATTAATATCATATAGATAATTATTCTTGATAAAAACAGTTGCTTGTCTCGTCAGATTGTCATGGAAAAAGTGCTACATAACAAACAAGTATTGTGCAAGTTGTATTAAATAATACTTGATAAACATTTAAACATCTTTGAAAAGGTACATCCATTGATTACAGTGTAATCAATTGTAGTTTGTGTCAGTAAAAACATAGAAAAAATAGGCTGACATTAAACTAAATTATATCTATGTGGTACATGTGAAAAGATTGTTTTGGTCACAACTATTGTCTGCTAAGTATTATACAACTATGATATTAATAAATATCAAAGAAAAATTTTGTGATACGCATATATGATACACATATTTTGTGAACTTATAACAATATTGTGCATTATTATTTATTTTTATGGGTTTGTTAATCTCTAAATAATTGCCTGATATGAGAAAAAGTAATTATGCATTTCAGTTATCTTCCGAAGAAATAAATAAATTGAAATCCAATCCAGATTATAGTCCAGTGTTTAGGATAGTAATTAATCACAGTTTGGAAGATCTTGATGATTATCTACAACAGCCTAATAAATTTTCTGGTAAGTGGTACAGTATATATGTACATACACACATGTATGTATGTATATATATATATATATATTTATATGTATATATATTTACAATGCTATATATTGCATTCTTTTATTTATCTAGTGTCACAATTACCTAACACAGTCCAAATGGCCCTAGATGCATTACAACGACAATTAGAAGAAGCTGTACAACGTCAAACAACGGCGCTAGAAGATAAGATACGTACGTTTACTGCTGAACAGTATCAATTGTTAGAACAATTTCGTGAAAGAGCACACAATGAACACAGACTGTTATCAAAGTATGTTTCTTAATAGATGGATTATCTTACAAGTATGTGCATATTATTATAATATTAATAATCATTTTTTTATTGTAATTAGATTAGTGTGTAGAGGAGATGAGACAAATAGAGTAACGAATAATATAGAAACTCCACCGACAACTCCTGATAGCTTTAAAAGTACCTTGACTACCTCTGCAACTGATTCAGTGACTCCAAAATCCAATATAATAATTAATGATACAAAAATACCCAGCCCAAACATTAAACATGAGACAATCACTAAATCCTCTTCTAAAAGTATTACTAACGTAAGTATTAAAATGTATTAAAATTTCTTTAGGTATTATTTGATCTATAAATGACTTTATTGCAATTATTCATTATCATAATGATAATAATAATATTAATGATACTCAACAGAATGAAATTTTGAGAAAAAAAGATCCATTGTACATTTGTACCAAGGAATCTGCTACCTTCGATACGGAAGCGTTGTTTCCTTTTGAAGGAATGGAAGATACAGATGCAGCCAATCAACAACTTCTATGGTCTTCGGAAGAAGGATCTGATACCGATGGTATACCAAATTTTTTTTGATAATATAGTGTATTTAGATTATCAGCATTCATATCAACATATCAGTAATCTGCTCAGATTCAAGTCAAAATGAAGGGATTCATATGCTAAAAAGTCAACGGGATGGTCATTCCACGTTAGCAAAATCGTTGCCTGTCACTGTGCCTGTTTTCCCTTCTATTGTTCGTCGTGCGATACAGGATCAAGACGATGACCAGGTAAAACTATACAATTCTTAATTTTTTCATATTTCTCTCTATTATATAAGATTTTCTCATACATTTTCTTTTTATTTCTGTTTCTTTTTTATTGCGCTATTACTTTATTGAAATTCACTCAAAATCACTCAAAAAAAATACCATTATATATATTATAATTACAGTTGCCGAGTGATCCGCTAGATCCGCACAATATTCGAGCTTCGATTAAAGCATTAGCTAAAAGTGTCCATGGTGATACAGTATTTGGAGATTTACCACGTCCCAGATTTTCGACACAGATCTGATTTATCAAATTTGATGAGAGAAGTTCGACTCAACATTTCTCAATTTTTTTATATATATCATAGTCCTAATCATCCGTCATTTGTCTTTCATACAAAAGTTATAAAATATGTATAAATATGGCTTAGAATAAATATAATCAGTTATGCAGAGAAGCACAGAATATTTTATGTATTTTATAAAAATTCGAGAACAATGCCTTAATTCAAATTTCGGCTATATTCAAATTTACTAAATGATACAGATACTTCAAGAAATGAAATATGTGCTAACTAAACGGGTTATATTAATAAAAGTGAAAAGATTATTTAAATAAATTAAAAACAAATTAAATATTCATAATTGACACTTAAATTTACATGTGCGAAATTTAAAGTTACCTAGTATAATAATTCGAAATTTTATAATTCATTCCGATAAATGTCTCTGTATACACAGATCATTATTAAAAAGTACTATGCAATAGACCGAATCTTTTATTGTGTAATTGAAATAATGAACATATTGACTGCATTCAGAAAACACAAGAGTTGAATAATAATTAGGTAATTCGCCAATGTAATTAGACTAAATGTAAAGATCAATAATCATTAACCGCTCATTGATTGCTTTATTTCGCTGAATCCATTGCAACGCAGTAATCTGTCGTAATCGTTGTGCTATTATACTGTGATGATCATAAACTGTAACGCAGGCGCACATGCACGCATACACATGCACGCATACATATACATGTACGCGCGCGCGTACAATTCGCAAATTGCGAATTGTAAAAATGTTAA